GGGGGGGGAGGAAGGGCATTTTGCTACCACATCTGGAGGTGGTAGCAAAAAAAAAAATTCAGTTCTTTTTTTTTTTTTTTTTTGAGCTCGAGAGTTTGTAAAAGGAAATTCGAACCCAACTTTGTTGGAAAAAAAAAAAGTCGAAGAATTTGGGCCTCGCGTGGTCAAAATCCTCGCACTGTGTGACCACGCAAGGCACCACTTTGGCAATTGCCAGAAAGTCCGGCGCGTGTCTTTTGTGACTTGCTGCCGCTATACGACCGGGCGGGTTTGCATTTCAGGAAAACCGGGATAGCAAGGGACAACTTTTTTTTTTTTTCCACCCGCCCTTCCAAGGCCCTGTCCCACACCTCCCCGCACCTCCAAAATTCTAGGAGAGGCTCAATCGCGATTTTCAACTTGGCTGGGGCCATGTACTGGTGGTTTAACAGGTGTGGATGGCAGGTTGAATTTTTTTGTCTCAACGAAGACACCAGGTTATCTGGCCCCACAGAGAAAATGTCAAACTGCTGGGAAGAGGAAGGGAGCCAAAGAGGCATGCGGTGACACCACTGCAAGGCATGCGAGTTTTTGAACAAACAAGCAACCACCTTTACCAATGGTTTTTGGCCCGGGTTTCGACCAGCAAATGACAGAGACATTTTCTCTGTGTTTTTGTTATTCAGAGCAATGCTTTACCTCGTCTTCTTCTCTTTTCTTCTTCTTTGTTAAATGGAGTGCTTTGCTGCATGCAGGCCTTTATGTTCACTGTCTGGGTCTGATTCTGAACACAACCTCTTGCCCTGCAGCAGATGCATGGCTTACATGTCTACAAAAGGTAGAGTAAAAGTGCCTGCACATCCACACATTGTGCTCATAAGTATCGCCTGTATGTTTGTGTGCATGTGCCTGTTTCTATGAAAAATTGAGCGGCCATTTGCCAGGGCGCACATCTGTCGCTATGTTCTCTCTCTTCCTCCTTATTATCATAAGCACTTCATTGATAGAACACATGTTGCACAAGAATGAAGTCATTGGTTTAAGTCCGATCGTCTCCAACCAACTTTCCCCATGAGCATTCCTTGATAGAACACATGACATGCAAGTATGAAGTCATCGGTTCAAGTCTGATCGTCTCCAACCAACTTTCCCCGTGAGCCGTGGCAAGTCAGACGCACTGCCCGCCCTTACCCCCCCCCCCCCTCCTCCCCTCTCCTCCCATTCTCCCTGACCTCCACCACCTCTTCTGCTTGCAATCCACCATCAAGTGCCGAGCCACATGCGCAAGGCCCCACTCGGCAACGGCAATGAGATATCATCATGGAACTGACCACCCCCAGGTAATTCACAAATCCATTCAACTATATAGTTCCATAAGGATTCGAGCTCACGTCTTTATTTCAACAGTTCATGGGTATACCGACTGAGGTAGGCAGACACCTTTTTTCCTCACATTCCCTCCGTTCCTTTCTCTGCCATTCACCCGTTTCTTTACCTTTAGGCAAAGTCATTTCTGGTTCACCAAACACTCTTCTTTTAGACCAAACAAGAACAAAACACCACCATAAGTTCCAGCACCACAAGAACTCTGCGCATTGAATGGTGCAAGGTACTCAGAAAATATACAAGTGTTCGGTGAACCAAAAATGACTTCGCCTAAAGGATATGCGAAAATCAACTACCGTTTGGACCTAATTAACACCTGTGCCTGATGAGTGCCTTGAATGATGCAAGCAACAACACCCATCCCTTGACAAGTGTTAAAAACATTGGCTGGATACAATGGAGTGCACATGAGGGTATGGAACATGCATACCACGCCCAAATGCTTGGGAAGGTACACAAACACAGAGAGAAGTATGACGCACAGCTACTGAGAAAAAAACAAAACAGAAAAAGGAAAGAAGGAAAGCTTTCGTCTGTTCATCACCTATTACGTACAAGGCCGCCCACGTGGATGATGGTTATATACATAGGCTGTGACGAACTGTTTCGTCAGAGTTTCACCGCCTCATCAGGAGGCTAATCTCTCTCTCTCTCTCTCTCTCTCTCTCTCTCTCTCTCTCTCTAATGACAGGCATTACTTTGCACAAGTTCGCAGCTACCAGAAAGAGAGGGAGTGAGAAAGAAAATGTACAGAAGCATAAATTGCCATAACGTCCTTGAAAAAACAAAGGGAGAGAGAGAGAGAGAGAGAGAAGAGATTGTCCTGACCATCCATATAGACAGGCAATACCATGCAGCTAACCCGAAAGCGGAAATGACAAAAAATCGAAAGCAGTTTTGAATCGGCAACATCCTTGGGAGAGACAGAAATTACCCCAAGCATCGAGAATAGTGAAATACCGTGAATAAATTGGCTTTCCTGCATTGCTCAGAATGAAGAAATGCTTCTTGTGTGTTCTCCACGACTCCGACGTGTCATCCTGCCAATCCAGTTACCAAATCTGATACGTCAATCCTGAAGACTCGATCACTGAACGTTACGTTCATAGCACCGGAATTCCAAGGGTCTCTTAAAGCTTTCCCGTGTATATGAGCACAAAAGCCAAAAAAGCATATATATATCGTCACAAACAGAACTGCCCGGTAAACCGTAGGCAGAGAGAGAGAAGAGGACAACAAACGAGGGGCTGTGACAAACTGTTCCGTCGGAGTTTCACCGACTCATCAGGAGGCTGAACC